CTTTTATTAACCTCAGGGGTAAAATAGAGCAAAACAATAAGTATGCTACTCACATGCAGTAGTAAGCAGCTGCTGACATTGAAATCAAAAGCAATGGCCGCCGGCCGTCCACAGGGGCCGTGCGGTGTGATGTCACAGGGTATGAGGTAGGTATGAGGCAACTCCCAATGTCAGCAGCTGCTTACTACTGCATGTGAGTAGCATACTTATTGTTTTCACACTACAGCTTTTTTTGTGTGAATGGGTAGCGGTACCATGTTCCCCATACTCATTTATACTCACTAAATAATGTGGAGGGGGGCAGGATCTGGGGCCCCCTTGCTAAAGGGGGATTCCAGATTCCGATAAGCCCCCCCACCCGCAGACCCCGGCCAGGGTTGTGGGGAAGATGCCCTTGTCCCCATCAACATGGGGACAAGGTGCTTTGGGGGGGGAGTTCCCCCTACCCCAAAGCTACCCCTTCTCCCACATGTTGAGGGCATGTGTCCTGGTATGGTTCGGGGGGGCGCTCGCTCTCCCCCCTCTTTCCTGACCTGCCGGGCTGCTTGCTCGAATATGGGTCTGGTATGGATTTTTTTGGGGAACCCCATGCCATTTGTTTTGGGCGTGGGGCTTCCCCTCAAAATCCATACTAGCTTGGTATGGATGGGGAGGGGAGACCCCACGCCGTTTTATAAAATGATTTTTTAATTGCCGGCATTCTTTTACATTCAGCTGTCAGTGGGAACCCTGCTGACAGCTGAAACATGATGCATGCTTTTCACTACTAAAATTCTGCATGACTTGATAAAATCATGCAGTATTTTAGTAGCCTTTTTCTAGTGGATTCAAATGTTTTTTTTTTTTTAAAATGCTATGCGGTATCCTATCGCATACTCGGATGTGGTAGGACACTGCTTAGTGAATTGTGTCCTGGATACGGACCTGTCAAAAAACGCTTCTAAACTAAAATTGGAGAATGCAACATCTGGTGCAATTCTAGATAGAAACCAATAATAAGCTTCCAGGTTTTATTGCCAAAGCTTAATTGAGCACGCTGAGGTTAAATGTTGATTGACTACCATGCACAGCTACAGCAGATTCTGAGTGTTCCAGTTTTAGTAAATCTACTTCATTGCAATAAACATCTTTGGATTGGTCATCTGACCCATTTCTTTCTTTCTTTTGTACACCTCAGTGTTTGAATGGTCAATGGTCAGGACAGAGCAGGTGAAGCTATGCCAAGCCCTGTGTAAATTTTAGAAAGTATTTTTTATTTATGTTGGACTTTTTGGGGGGCTTCGGGGGGTGGCAGTGGAGCAGTTCAAGCAGGTGCATTATGATACCTGTTACAAATGTTCAGCATTCTTTTTTTTTTAACTTTTGGCAGTGCAGAATCATTTTAAGACAAGTGATAAACTAGGTAAAGTATGTTGCTGTTGGAGTTAATAATTTTTTTCCATTCTGAGTGCCCCATATAATATATTTTATATTAAAAAGAGTTCTTTGACATCCAATATGAAGACTCAATGCCAACTCAGAGAGGGCTCTATTAGTGCTGGGCACCTGCCTTCAAAACACCGGTACTTATCAATAATAGAGAAAACCCAGAGGCTCTATGCATATACTGTATGCTTCCTGCAAAATTAATGGGGAAATGGGCTAACCCAGATTATTAAGTGTCAGCATTGTGACCTTTCTGCATCATCTCATATCCAAACAACATTGAAAAAGCCTCTGTCTTATTTCTCACTTTAGCCCTACCAGTTTAACTGGATTGCAGAACAACAGAAAATTAAAAGCATAATGTAAACATATAACAAAACGTTACCATGTATGTAACAGCTATTTATATCAATCTCAAATATTTATGGATAAATACCAAAGCAGATGCAGAAAATGAGTCATTTCTCATGTACAGCACTGTATGTACTGTTTTAGGCCGCCGTGTACGTTTTGCTGTCTGTACCACAACTCTTGGTAGATATATCCCTTGTCTTTGAATTCCACCTATATGCAAATAGCAGAAAGATCTATCTGTGCAGTCCTGATGCCTCCCTATGTCCCATCAATCATTTCAAATTTCCTCTCAGCTGGTTTTTCATGCATATCTGAGAGGTACCTAGAATTTCATCTAGAAAAAATGAGCTAATTATTTTCTTCATTTACCCAATCCCTCTTTGACACCTCTTTAACTGTAAATAGTACTGTCTTTCCACCTATCCCAGAAGCTTATTATTTTGCTTTAACTCTTATACCATCTCTTTAATTCCTCACCTCTGGAGCATCTCTAAATCCTGCTGCTGCCACTTTTGTGACGGCTTTAAAATACCCCCCTTCCCAATCAAGACACTACCAATGTTCTAGTTCAATCCCACATAATTCACCTTGACTGCTGCAACAGCCTTGTAACAACAATCTCACCTCTGCAAGCCATTATAATTGCTCCTTTAAGGCATAGACATCCCTTACACTGCTTCCAATGAATCTAAAAAGCTGCTATATTGTACTACATGAAACAACTGATGCCACACCTGTATTTGTGCCCTTATTTATTCATCTTCCTCTACTAATCTATTTCTTATTCATAACATCATATTATGCAAGCCTACTGGATTTATCATAATCAAACTAAAGAATAACCTGTCAGCAACTGCAGCAACCCCCTTTATATCTGAATACAAGATATATTCAAACAATATAAACCCAGAAGGTGCGCAGTCTTTTTAAATAAATAAAAATGGTGGGGACAATTCAGTAAGTGGTATCTTACCACATCCAAGTATGTCCAAGAACTGTCAGGCGACACAGCTATCAGATGGCAAGAGACTTTTTTTTTTTTCTGGTCGTGGAAGCAGCGGGCATCGTGACGATGAATCTACACCGGGGCACATTTTTTAACCTTTTTGTTTTTTTTAATAAGGGACTTGTCAAAAACTGCCCCTTGTGTTTTTTTACACTACACTTTTTTTTGGGAAAATGAGTAGCAGTACCATGTACTCCATACTCATTCACATGAGGAGGGAGGACCGGGATCTGAGGACCCCCTTTTTATAGGGGGCTTCCAGATTATGATAAGTCCACCCACAGCCCCCACATCCACCGGCCAGGGTTGTGAGGAAGAGGCCCTTGTCCCCATCAACATGGGGACAAGGTGCTTTGGGGGGAGCCCCCCAATACCAAAACACCCTACCATGTTGAGGGCATGTGATTTGTGGTATGGTTCAGGAGGGGGGGCACTTGCTCGTCCCCCTCCTTTCCTGACCTGCCAGACTGCATGCTCGGTTAAGGGTCTAGTTTGGTTTTTGCTGGGATCCCATGTCGTTTTGTTTAATTTTTAATTGCCGGCAATACTTTTTTTTACATTCAGCAGTAAGTATCCCAACTGATAATGTTGCGGCCACTCACTCCTTAACAACCATGATGGTTACCAGTACATACCGCATACCTCGACTACTACTAAATAACTGCATGCATATAATTATTTACTTCCTTCTGTGAACTGACTTTAAAGCGGAGTTCCATTCACACTGTAAAAAAATAAAAGTCAGCAGCTACAAAAACTTTAGCTGCTGACTTTTAAAAAACAGCCACTCACCTGTTCTATGATCCTGCAGTGTCCTCCCCGCAGCCCCTTTCACTGGCCGTCCTGTGTTCCAGGCATTGGCATCTTCAGTGTGGGCACCCAGCTGTGACAGCTTGCGGCTTCACAGCCGGGTGCCCACTGCGCATGCACGAGTAGCGCTGCACTTCCTGAATGGCCCCGTCGTCTTCTGGGACCGGTCACGTGTCCCACAAGACTACAGGGAGGGAGGGGAGGAGGACAACTTCCACTTCCGATCGCCTAGATAATTGCAGTAGAAGTGGGAGCGGGTACCTGTCAATTTCGGGTACCCACTCCCCCCTGCTCCCCAAAGGTACCAATCCTTAATGGGGAGCGGGGGACCAGTCTTTAAAGCGGAATTTCCCCTTTTGGGTGGAGCTCCGCTTTAAGGTCTTTTTATGTGATATTTACTGAGCTCTTTTGCCGTTTGCAGTAAGTAGTGCATTCACATTTTCAATATCGCTTGTGATATGTGGTCACATGACCGACAGAACGCATGCAATAACCTTTAGTGAATTATCCCCTAAAAATGCTAATGTGCATTAAATACTCAATTCATACATTTAACCACTTGCCTACCGGGCACTTATACCCCCTTCTTTACCAGGCCAATTTTCAGCTTTCAGCGCCTTCGCATTTTGATTGACAATTGCGCGGTCATGCAAGATTGTACCCATATGAAATTTTTATCATTTTTTCTCACAAATAGAGCTTTCTTTTGGTGGTATTTATTCGCTGCTGGGCACTTTACTTTTTGCACTATAAACAAAAAAAGTGCAAAAAATGTGAAAAAAGAAGTTTCTTTGTTTCTATTATAAAATTTTTCAAGCAGGTAATTTTTCTCCTTCACTGATGTGCGTTAATGAGGCAGCACTGATGGCACTAATAGGTGGCACTGATGGCACTGATAGGTGGCACTGATAGGTGGCACTGACTGGCATCACTGCTGGGCACTGACTGGCGGCACTGCTAGGCATTGACTGGCAGAACTGCTGGGCACTGACTGGCACAACAGCTGGGCACTGACTGGTGGCACTGACTGGCAGCACTGCTGGGATGCACTGATGGGCACTGGTGGGTGGCACTGCTGGGCACAGGTTTGTGGCACTACTGGGTGGCAAAGGAGGCTGCACTGCTGGACACAGGTGGGTGCACTGCTGGGCACAGGTGGGCGCACTGCTGGGCACAGGTGGACGAAACTGGTGGGTGGCAGTGCTGGGCACCGATCATCATTGCACTGATCATTATCACGCAATTCTGCAAGTGGTTCTGATTTACTATTGCTGTTCTCTAGCTGGTCTAAACCCGCTTTTGACCTAAAGGGAGACTTTTTGGACGCCATGGATGTTTCTCAGTTTCCAGGCAGAAAGAACAATAAAAATGCAGGCAGGGCACAGGACAAAGCACTCGGGACAAAATGTATGTGAAATGGTTTGATACAGTAATGTTTTACTATGTCATTTTAGTGATTTTAGTGAATGTCATTTTGTCATTTTCAAATTTCCTGCCGTTCCGTCCCCGTACGTCCCGACGCTCGCAGGGAACGAAACGCGGAAGACAGATGCCGGCATCCACAGGATTACATTGCCGGGGACACTGCAGGAGGGACATCGCGGGAGTGATCGAGGGATCGCGGAGCAGCAGCATCCGCATGGTAAGCCCGAGTGTAGCTCGGGGTTACCGCTTGTGGTACTGAAACTTTACCCCGAGCTACACTCGGGAATACCGCCAGGGAGGCTACAGGTTAAGTTCTTTTTTTTTTTTTTTAATTGAATCCAGCTCCCTTATGCACCAATATACCATTCGTCTAGGTTCATACCTAAGCATTTTGCAGTGCATTTTGCAGAAACGGATTTAACATGATTGTTTTGCATGGAAATTTGTTATTTTATATTGTAGGCCTGTAATTCTTAGGAATAACTCTGTCCAAACAAGAATCTAGTAAACATCCTGGGTATGATAAAGTCTAAAACACGAAATCATAAATGATAATATAATATAAATAATTATAAAAAATAATAATATAATAATAAATGTTATTCAATAATGTAATCAAACCAAAAACACTGAAATTTGAAATAGAGCGCAAAGTTCGCACATCACTGAGCTCAGTCGCAGAATGGTAGCTGTGGTCACTTTCAGTGTCTGATGACGAATTTCCCCACGAATCACTATCGCTCAATTCTGCAAGTGATTCTAATTCACTATTGCTGTTCTCTAGCTGGTCTAAAACCGCTTTAGACCTTAAGGGACGCTTTTTGGACGCCATGGACGTTCTCAAGTTTCCAGGCAGAAAGAATGGTAAAAGTGCAGGCAGGGCACAGGACAAAGCACTCGGGACAAAATTTAGCTGAAATGGTTTGATACAGTAATGTAATCCTAACAGATTACAATGTATTGTGTGCATGTCATGTTTTTACTTTTTTGAATCTCCCGCCAGTTACGCCCCCCTGCGTTGCAACGCTCCCAGAGAAGGGAACCCGGAAGACGGATGCCGGCATCGGCCGGAGGACACAGCGGGAGGACATCGGGGAATCGCAGGACACGTTAAGGATCGGGGGATCACAAGACAAGGACTACAGTGTAATCCCGAGTGTGGCTCGGGGTTACCGCTTTTGGCACTGTAAATTAACCCCAAGTCACACTCAGGATTACCGCTAGGAAGGTTAAAGAGAAAGGTTTCAGGGATTGTCTAAAGGTGGATAGATTAGAAGATAGTCTGACAGATTGGGGTAGGGAGTTCCATAGGATGGGAGAAGCTCGGGAGAAGTCCTGGAGGCAAGCATGGGAGGCGGTTACATGGGAACTAGAGAGCAGAAGGTCTTGGGAGGATCTTAGATTGTAAGCTGTAACGAGCAGGGCCATCTGAATCCTCCTGTATTCATTTGTATTGTAATTGTACTGTCTGCCCTTATGTTGTAAAGCGCTGTATAAACGGTTGGTGCTATATAAATCCTGTATAATAATAATAATATAATAATAATAATTGAAGAGAGCAGTTTGGTTGATATTTTGAGAGTAGGTTGGTGATGTAGCTGGGGGCAAAGTTGTGGATGGCTTTGTAAGTTGTTAGTATTTTGAGTTTTATTCTTTGGGCGAGTGGAAGCCAGTGAAGGGATTGGCAGAGAGGGGTAGCAGACACTGAACGGTTGGAAAGGTGGATGAGCCTGTAGTGGAGTTTAATCTTACTGTAAAGCATGTCCGTGATTACCTTATATTCTGTGAGTTGGGAAACCGCTTCTTTTGGCTCTGGAATGTATGAGAACTTTGACTTCTCTTTTGGAACACCACACCTTCTGCTGATTATTCATATGCACCTGTGCAGTTCACAGTACTGTACCTGAGCTATATATAGGGTGTTCTCAGTTTATACAGTATACTGTCATTTACACCAATATAAAACAAACAACACCTGCCATTTTATAGACATGAATGCAGGGCTTTAAATAATGATTCATGTCACTGAATTAGGGACCATAAGGTGTAAAGAGACATGGTGACATTTCCTGCTGTTCGCAGTGTTCTACCGTATTTATAGAGATTCATTAAGATTTGGTAATTTGCAGAGATTCACTAAGATCTGACCTGTGGTTTAGACCTCACTGCACCCGGACATGGATTTTGAGCTTTTTTGGCAGAGTTTGAAACCCAAATACTACAGCTTCTCTTTTTTTTTATTAGGAAAGCAATATGAACAAATATTTACACACAAATTTGAATACATTTGTGTGCTGAACACAAGCCTGACATAAACTGAGAAAACTGCTGTATAGGCATGTGAACAATGACAAAATTGTCAAGAATGCAGCCACTAAAAGGCTTGCTACTGCCATAGTTATAGGTTTCGAAAACAAAGAAAATAACTGCCATGTGAGATTAGATAGTAAGGAACAATCACTATACATAATTATCCAAGACAAGAAGTAGGAACATATGTTGACAAAGCACAACACTGAAAGAAATCAGTCAATATTACATAGGGTGGGTAAGAGTCTGTTTTAGGATAAACGACCTTACGGAGACGATGGGGAAAATGAACACTTCGTGACGACGTCAGCAAAGCCATTGATCAAGTAAAGTTTGTAATAAAAATGATTAGTTGAGAAAAAATAAAATGTGAGTGATACCGCATTACTGTAAAGGAGAACATTACAATGAAATGTGCATAGCGATTATAAGAAAGGGATTTGAGGAGAGAAAAATAACCGTTTATTGCAGAAATCTATGATGCAGAAACACTGCTAAATATGGCGAGAGGTGAATACGCATACAGTAAATGCATAGCCTAAAAGCGTGAGGCTCTTTTCAGTGCTGAATTTTAATATACTATCAACATGTACATTTTTTTGTATGTTTCTATTGATCATCTTTCATCATTTTTGTCAATCCAAATTAGTCTTTAATGTTTGTAGCTGACAGTATGTCTTGATATAGGTAGAAGCGGGGCTTTTTTTCATCCATAACATGGTGGTACTCCATACTGCTACCTCTGGCACTGACTCAATTATTTTAAGCACAGAAGCCAGCACAGAATGTTGTCTGCACTACTCCTCTACTGGCTTCTGTGTTTACAACGCCAGTGCACCTCTCCCGCCAGCAGGAGCATCAGTAGCACCAGACACCCAGGGTACATGCCCTGCACCTCACGTCTAATGTCTCCTAACGTATTGATCCCCAGTCACTGCAGCAGCCAGCACCCCCCCCCCCCCCCATAACCTGCAACTATTCTTAAAAAGCCCTGGGTAGAACATATCATCAAAACAACAGTTTTGCCTAAAATCATACAGATCACAGAAAATGATTGAACAGTATAGATTGTACCCCAAAAAGAAATCTGTGTTGTGTCCTGTAGTGTGGTAGGCAGAGTAGCTATAGTAGCTATTAACATATTCAGCCACTCATGAAACATGTGCAACCTTTGAGCATATCATAACAGGAACAGAACTGAAACCAATTTGTACATAATTTAGAAAGTATTATATGTGTACCAACTGTAAATAGTGACATCTACAGATCAGAGGTATGAACATCACATGTTTGTAAGAAACCTAAAAAACTGGTCAATTCATTTCAACCCCTAAATCTGTCAATCCAACAGTCATTTTTTTTATAACTTTTGGCATTAAGGCTCATATGCGTAGCCAAAGAAAACAGAACTGTGCCAAGAGCGCACACCGTGAGCACTCCCCGCACAGTTATCGGCGTCTAATGGAAAGCTCCTGATCTCTACTTGCGATTGGGAACTTTCCGATCATGTGACCACTGTGACATCCAATAACATGACCACAAAACCCACCTCCTGGCATCTGAAACCCCTTAAAGGGCCGGGAGGCACCAGCCCCAAGGGGTTAAAGAAATCCTGTACTGTAGATATATGAAATCTGCCATTGTTGAATTTTCTTCTAAAATTGTTACTTGCTTGGCTTGTCTGATTATCTCATCGTTTCAATATTTTGAGTAACTGACCCAAAACAGTGCATGTGGCCCTTTCACGCTGACGGTCTAATTGGGTCTAATTCAGGCAGACCTGATCATACCATGCATAGACCTCTATGGACCAGTGGGTGTCAGCGAACAAATGTATGCTGGAATCTGATCCGATCGTGTATGCCAGGGGCTCCACACTATGACCCTCCAGGTGTTGAGGAACTGCAAGGCCCATGAGGCCTTGCAAGACTCTGACAGCCACAGCAAGACTTCCAGAAGCAGAAGCATGATGGGACTTGTAGTACTTCAACAGCTGGAGGGCCCTAGTTTGGAGACCCCTGCTGTACGGCAAAAACAGACAGATGGGGATCGGATTGCAGTAGAATAGAAACGGACAGGCAGCCCATTTCCATCCGACCGCCCCATAGAAGACAGCAGGCAGTGTCTGTGTCCGCTCTGCAACAGTGGAGCGGACATAGACCTGTCATCCGCCTGCTCAGTGGGGATCAGCAGATGGGTCTGCCCCATCCGAAAGGGGCCTATATCATGCATTTTGCTGCATACTTGCTCTAGGATCATGACTCAAAAAGTATTGAGCATATAGACAGCCATCTTCAAGAAAAGGTTATTAAAGCGGAGTTCCACCTGAAAAAAAAAAAAAGTCAGCAGCTACAAAAACTGTAGCTGCTGACTTTTAAAATACAGACACTTACCTGTCCCTCGGTCCAGCAGTGTCCTCACCACTGCTGGTTTCACCAGCCATCTTTTCTCCCTGGCGCCGGCATCTTTAGTGTGGGCACCTGGCTGTGACAGCTTGCGGCTTCACACCTGGGTGCCCACTGTGCATGCGCGAGAAGCACTGCACTTTGTGAATGGCCCCTAGTCTTCTGGGACATGTCACATGTCCAAGAAGACTATGGGGTGGGAGGGGGGAGGACAACTTCCATTTCTGATCGCCTAGGCGATTGCAGTGGAAGTGGGAGCGGGTACCTGTCAAATTCGGGTACCCGCTCCCCAAAGGTGCCAATCCTTAATGGGGAGCAGGGGACAAAGGCTTAAAGCAGAACTTCCCCTTTTGGGTGGAGCTCCGCTTTAAGGGAAAGTACAGGTTCTAGCACATTCTTCCTTTATGTCATAATTGGCAGAGGTACTTAAGGATAGCCTCAGACATTTCCAGCTGACTAACACTGGGGGAATTAACCAGCAGTGATGCATATAATTTTGCCAATCACATACTTTCTTTAGAGATGAAGCTGGAGCCAGAGCTGTCTAACCATTCGCATTATTCCCAGCTTCATAAGCATGAACAAGCATTCACATGGGAACCGAGTGTCCATATTTAATGAAGTATCATATAATATGTTAAGCATTCAAGGTAATTTGTGAAATTTGAGAATGTTAACCTTTAGAAGAATAGCTCTCTCAGGCTTTCAATGCCTTCTATTGGGGATTTACCCATGTCTTCTGTCAGGTAGTGATGGACTGTGTACATTTGGTGATTGATTTACTAAAGGTAAATAGGCTATTCATTTTTACAAGAGAAGTTGAACTTTGAAAGGGAATTTTCCAAAAACTTAGTGAATGAGATGAAGCTCCGCTGACTTCCATCATCCAATCCTGTACAAGTAAAAATGCTATATTTAAAAAATTTTTTCCTTGCACATGATTGTGTATTCTTTGCAATTTAAAATTTCACCACATTCACAAGCTATACTGAAAATTTACTCACACAGTGCAACTTTACTTGAAAAGTGAACAGCCTAGTCACCCTTTGTCATTTGTAGGACTCTCAGAGAAAGTTGTCACTGTGGAATTTCTACAATTAGTAAATAAATCTGTCCACATGCACAGTTGGCCACAGTGGTGAATAGAATTGTTATAGCAATGGTTTGCATGGCTCTGTCCTCTATACTCATTTTGATGTTTTTGTTTTTGCTTGTTATGTGAGAATCTTGGAAACCTTGTGTTTCATCACTGAGCACCGGGCACAATTATTTTCTAATACCCGCATTCATCTATTGTCATCTTTTATTCAAACTTTTCAGACAAAAAGTTGTTTCTGCAAAGTAAAGTATTACTTGTTAAAAACATCAATGACTTCATCATTTGCCTAAACAAAGCCTTTTAATTGTGTTGGATTGTGGGTGGGAATCTCCAGATGAATTTTTTAGTTCTTGATTAAACAAACAATCAGATACAATATATATGAACTGCATTATATTACATTCAACTTTCACAGAATCTAAAACCGCTTAAATATAATACTGAAACTGATGGATGTGTATTAGTGTTCATATAGAGCCAAATATAATTTTTTCAATTAATTACATGGGTCTACATATAGCACAATAAATCACATGTAATATTGTCCGTGGACCATATATTATATTATGTTACATTTCCAAAGCATGTGAATAGAAAACCAAAGTGCATATAACATCCAAAGTGCAAAGCTGTCAAAGTTGCTGATACAAGACATCAGACCCAGAAGGATAGTGTTGTGTCTTTTACTGTAAAAGAGAAAATCTTTATCACTGAATTGAACAGAAGTAACATGCTTGGTAAATAAAAAATATACTTCACTGTGGGTGGAGTGGGGAAAACAACAAAGAAAGGTAAAAAGTAAATGGAGAGACAAAACACCAACTAAGTGGGGATAACACAAATGAAAAACAGGCAGATACTGGTAAGGAAGGATAGCACTGCTTTGTAAAAAAGCCTAAGTGTTCTGTAAACCTAAGGGCTTGGATGTGTAACACATGGGGATAGAAGGGAGCCCATATCTGTGTGAGGCATTGTATTATAGACAGCATATGTGCATGAGATGTCAGAAGAGGAGCCTGGTGAGCACTGAGCAATCCAACGCTTTCACACATACATTGAAAATGGTTCTAGCTCTTTCTGGGTTGCACTCCAAGCTGAAACACAAAGCTGGGAAGGAAATGTGATGGGCTCTGCTGCAACCATATGTGTCAAAAAGTTTGCAAGGGTAAAGATTAAGAATTAAACAAAGAACAGCATAGGGGTATAAGTAAGGCAAAACAAGGAGATGGCTAAAATGATATAAAAATAAAAGTAAAAGAATATGAATTATTCTTAAGACCCATCTTTGAAGATAAGGAATATTTAATATGAGAAAATAAGCAGATAAGCAGAGAACCATCATGTTTCTGGGCTGTTGTTGCAGGTTCACCCATTACAGGCAGCACTGTTTTTCCAAAAATACAAGGGGGCTCTGTACAAGGAAAGAATACAGTAATGATCAATTGGCATAACAGGAAACTCCTTCATGGAGACAGGGACACCTTTACTTTGCAGTTCAATTTAAGGACACTGCTGCTTTAAAGGGGCAACTCATAATAACATGCAGGTAAGATTAAATGGGTCCATAGTAATACTGTGTAAATTGTTTTATCCCAAAGCTCAGCTTTAACAACACAATGTTGTGCTTTGCAGTGCTTTAGTGGAAAGCTTTTTGGTTCCTTTTGAACATCCTAATTATAAGCCCACTAGTAATCATATCAGATTTTTAAAAGGTATAAAATTGTTTATTTTTTAATAATTGTATTATTTCTATCTATCCCCTGAATACTGAGATTGACAACCGTTCTACCGATAATCTCTTTACAGTAGGGAAATGTTCGGATCTCTATCAGGTCTTTTTTTTTTTATACAGTTTATTGAAAACAGACTTCAACAAATTACAAAATAAAACACACAGTTACAGGTCTAATACAGACATGAATATCTCTGCCAGGTTTTCACTGCTGTCTATGCCCATATTTACAAGATTTCTTCTACTTTCTAGCGCAAAATTGAACAAAAGTGAGGATGAAATGTTCCCAACGAGGAAATGGACAACAGTAGATGCAAAGGTTCAGTTTCTTTTGCTGTCTTTTTTCTCATTAGAAAGTTACTTTCACTTTCTGTCTTAGAGACTAATGCCACTTTGTACAGGAAGTGAGGGAAAATCTCTCAGTTGAGTCACAGGTGCCAATAAAGAAAAAGGTTTTATCTTTTCACACTCTGTCCAAAAGTAAAAACATTTTGGGTAGATATCCACTTTAAAAAGAAGTATGTATAAGACCCCAAATAATGCAGGATTATATAAATGTATCTGGTGACATTTCAACTGTAAGGTCACTGTTAGACATATTTCTTCCTCTTGTACATAGTACAGTGTTAGTGTTTCTGTCTTTCTTCTCTAATCAAACAGCTTATGTTTTAAAATAAACCCGAATACTTTAAATTATATAATTGATGACTGCTGACTAATAAATACAGACCACCTAGTGTTTATTTAAGATCTAAGATAAAAGTACAAGGTCATATATTTCTTACCACATAACTTGTTTGAAAATGTAGCAAATGTAAGGACCCCCAGGTGGCTTAGTGAACTATCATTACACCTTTTTTGAAATTGAGCACCAGTTACTGAGAGAGTGAGAGAGAGAAAGAGAGAGAGAGAGAGAGAGAGAGAGAGAGAGAGAGGGGGGGGGGGGAGAGAGAGAGGAGAGAGAGAGAGAGAGAGAGAGAGAGAGAATGTCCAAAAAGAATTCAAACTCTGTATCTCTACTCCCAGTCAATGCAGAAAAGGAACCTTTAAGCCAGACCAGTACTTTGTACTATTCAGAAGGTAGAGCAGCTTCAAAATAGCACATGAATGAGCTGCCAGAACATACTGCAATGTCCATTGGCAGTAGTTTCTACCCAATTCAGCTGGACACTCTTCAATGGATGATTGGTGCTCCAATCCAGATAATCATTTTCTTGATTCACTTCCCCTGGATATACCCTCCAGCAAGACAACAGAAAGCTTCTCACCCCAGGCTTGAGCCTCTTTATTAGCAGAACACACACCTTCCTCAGGTAGCAGGCCTAGGAAGATTCAAGTGCACAGCCACAACACACCTTCTCCTATGCAAAGCCTGGGAGGCAAGACAGCTTTCCAAGATCACTCCAAAATTTTTATACCTTTCTCCAGCATGCACCACTGTCAGGAAACCTTCTAGTGGTTGGCCAAGGAAATATAAATATTCATAACTCAGGTTACTGAATCTCTTTACATTGCCAAAGAGAAGCGCCAACAGTATTCAGAAGCAAACAATATCAATGAGCTTAGGGAAAACCTGAGGAAAGCATAACTGTCAATTTGTGCTCAGACAGACTACAGCTCAGCAACACTAAATGTAGGCTAGGGACACTATTGCATAGAACAGGGTCCTTACATACTGTACGTAACTTAAAGCACAAAGAACCACCACTACATGATTGGGGTGGATTCCATATTCTTGTGTTTGGCTTTTTTCCCATTGCTATGGTGGGGGAACACAATTATTCCAATTTTGTGGCTACTTATGGGCATAAGAAATTTACTGACAATGGGCAAAAAAAGGAAAAAAGGTCTATTGATATGCCTAATGGTCTCATTCTTACAATATAAATAAAAAATCAAACAAGCACACACAAATTGTGATGATTATTTAAAATTAAACTTTTTTCTTATAACTATATAACAAAGGCATCAAGCTAAGTTGAAAACACAATCAGGAAACAATAAATGGAGGCAACAAATGCTGCCTTACTTGATTTTTGTCTAAAATTTCTATTGCAATATTTGTATTGGTTTTCTGAACAGAGAATGACAAGACAATTCTTTGCATGGAGCTGCAACCAAGCCAACATTTTAAGCCACAATGTCTAATGTTTTTAGAACAATTTACTTTGGATGCAGTGTACTCTACTAAGAGCCAGCAAGTAATTTATGATGATCCATTATTTGGAATCTTGTTAATGTAGGGTGTCTAAAATTCAAAATATAGCCTTTGGAAATTAGGTTACGGAGATCTATGAATAATGATAATGGGAAGGAAAGGGTATTCTGACTCTAGGTTTATGTGGGACTATGTGGGTAAC